TTCACCACGCGCAGAGTCTCGCTGCTGGACCTTCCTATGGGATCCGCATGTATCAGCTTGTATATGATTCTCCCTTCATCCAGGATAATCGTAGCCCTCTTTGACCGGCCTTCTCCTGCGATGTATATCCCCAGCTCAGAGGAAAGAGCCCCTCCAGCATCGGAGAGAAGGGGGAGCGTATTCTCGGAGATATTCCCGGGGGCATTCGTGCACATCCATCCCTGATGAGAGTATACGCTATCACAGGAAATGAGGAAAATACTCGCTTTCTCCTGGGAAAAAAGGTCCTGGTCCTTGCTGAACCCGAGTATCTCCGTCGGACAGACGAAAGTAAAGTCCCTCGGATAGAACACGAGGACTACAAGCTTGTTCTTGCACGCGGAAATATCTACTTCTTTTATCTCCCCGTTGGAATATGCAGTGAACCTGGTTTTCTCTATCTTGTCTCCTATACAAGCACCCATAAAAAATTTAATTGAAATGAAAATATCTATATGGACGTGAACGAGTGCGGGGAAGAGAAGCCTCTGAACCCGATAAAAGACATTTTGATATTCGAGAGAAAGTTAAACGAGAGATTCGCTAATGAAACGAAAAGGCGATTTATATACTTTGTCTTGGTCGTAACAATGCTCTCTGCGTATATTCTGTACATTATCAAGGAGGTATACAGCACTCTCTGGGACGTATATAGTACATCTCCTGTTTCTCTGAGTCCTTTGCTCTTTCAGATATACTTCCGCGTTCTGGGGGTGGCTTTTCTCTTGGGGTACGTCTTTATTCGCCTGCTCCGGAAGTCCTCGAAGGTGATCAAGTCTCTAACTGCGCAGTTGAAGCTTCTGAATATAAACTTCAAGGAGAGAAAGATAGAACTATGCGCTATAAAGACGCCTAGGAGCATAAAGACGGCGATAAACGTCTTCCGAGAGGAGGAGCAAAGGACCAGCGGATATTGGAGGAAGAAGGAGTGATGATTTGCTGTTTATCCGTTAGGTTTTCCTGCTTTTAAATCTATCGATTATCTCCTGTTTTTATATTATCGTATCTCCGTAAAGCCTCTTCACTCTTTTTATTCGGGTTATTCGGGGTATTTTTTAACGGGAAAAGACAAAGCACCTGAAGAGGCACTCCAGGGATGGCTGCGCCTGAAAAGAGCCTGCCCTGGGTCTGGACACGCTTATTCCACCGAGAATGCGCAGTTTCCCGGCCTCTCCCCGCATATTTTCGCTACTTTTCTGCTTTTCCCGTTAAAACCCGAATTTATGCGCTCTAACCCGAATAACACCCCCAGAAAAAAGAGGAGAAGATTCCCCACAGCAGGACGCGTGCATTTGTGCTTTTCCTCCGGATTTCCCGGGATTTTGCACTTCCCGTTCCCCCGGTCTTTCGCGTCTTCCCTGCAGGCAGAATAAATATTTTATTTTTATTCACCCCCGTAATGGAAAGCCTAAACGTACAACAGGGAGAGATGGGAATGAGCACGACAGAGTCTATAGAAAGAATGCTTACTTCGTCTTTGAGGGCATCTGGAGTTGTCAAGGGCTTCAGACAAGTCACAAAGTCTATCATCGGAGGAAGATCCCACCTTGTCATCATGTCGAAGGAAATCACCGAGAAAAAGATGAAGGCAATAATTGAGGGCCTCGTTAAGGAGCACAATCTCCCCATTCTGATGGTAAACAACCACAACGACCTTGCCAGATACGCAGGAATCTGCAAAACAGATGAGACGGGAAAGATCGTTAAAGAGGCAAAATGCGCTGTTGCTTCGATAGAGAACTTTGGGGACGATCTCGAGGGAAAAGACGCCCTTTTCAGCATGCTGGGACTATCTAAATAAACGGACGACTCGGGAAACTATTTAAGAAGAAAATGTTTTGCAAAAATTTCAATGCGGATTGTAGCGAAGAATATTCCGGTAGTTCTTACGCAGGAGGAGGTGAAAAAGCACTTTTCCGAGAAGGGAGTTCCCACGGACGTCCGCCTTCTGAAGACGCTTCGGGGGGAGAGTCGGGGAGTGGCTTTTTTAGGGTATAAAACCCCAGAGCAGGCAGATGCCAGCATCCTCCACTACAACAAGTCGTACTGCAGGGGATTCCGGCTGCTCGTGGAGAGAGCAGAGACGCAGAAACTCCCGGAGGAAGCCCCAAATAAGCGCAGGAAAGAGGAAAATTCCCCCCTCTCCGACGGACTCAGCGTGAAGGAGATGAAGGAGATCCTGGAGCTCCTCAAAAGAAAGAAGGAGAACATCTGGTACACAGAAGTAGATGAAGACGCAGGAAAAGATCCAAAAAAGGGCGAAGAGAAAGAGTCAATTACGGACCTTATCAGCAGCTACAAGAAAGAAGCGAGCAAAAGAGACGCAGAGAAGGTTTTGGAGACGGGAGAAGTTTTTATCCACGGAATCCCGTACGCAGCGACGGAGGAAGAGGTTGAAACTGCCTTTAGCGAGTTCGGGATGGTCGCAGAGGTCTTTATGAAGCACCGAGAGAGGGAAGACGCCTGGGGAGATGGAGATGCAGTGAACTCAGGCTATGCTATAGTTACTTTTGCCTTTCCGAAAGATGCTTTTTCTTTAGTTGGAAAAACCGTTATTTTTCAGGGTCGAAATGTTAAGGTTCTCCCGAGCAAGGGAAAACCCTCGGAGGAAGTCACGGACAAGAACAAGAGCAACCTCTCACACGGGAAGTACAACCCCGTCTTTTTCAACTTCTCAGCCGTCCTGGGAGTAGCTGCAAAGGAGAAGAAAGTCTCGAAGCAGGAGATCCTGAAGGACCGCGGAATTGGAGTCGGAGGAAGAATTGCCCTCCTGCAGAGTGAGCTCGTGGAGAGGACGAAGATCTTCCTGAAGGACGAGGGAATTGCCGTTGAGTGCAACTGCAAAAGGACAGCCTGTACATGCACTTTCGTCTCTAAGAAGTCCCTTCTCGTGAAGAATATCCCGTACGGGACAAGAGAGGGAGAGATCCGGGAATTCTTCAAGAAGTACGTTAGAGCAGTCTTTTCCCCCTCGAAGACTCTCCTCGTCCTGGAGTACGGGAATAAGTCTGACGCCTCTGCGGAGCTGAAGGCGAATAACTTCGTGCGGATTCGAGATCAGCCGGTATACGTGGAGTTCCTGAAGGTTTCCAGGGAGAGATACGACAGGGAAGTTGCAGGTCTCCCCCACGTAGTGAAACCTGAAAATTTAACGGTTTTAGGCGGGAAAGAGTCTAAGCCCTTCCTGAAGGTCATTTTGAAGAATGTCCCCTTCCAGGCGGGGAGACCTGAACTTTCAGAGCTCGTTACGGGCCTGATTGGGAAGGACTTTATCCTCAGGATTCCCGTTAAGGCCGATGGAACCCACAGGGGATTCTGCTTTGTTGAGACAAGGTCCCCAGAAACAGCGCAGAAACTCCTCGAGAAGCTCCAGTACGTCCACCTGTACGGAAGACACATAGTCGCACAGCCTGCAGAGGTGTAAGTGCTTTCAGGTTTATCCCCGAAAAGATCAGAACCTGATTTTTAGGCAGATAAAAAACAAAAATTCAGGTTTATCCCCAAAAAGCAAGATAACCCGAATTCTTGAACAGCCAGAATACCCCAGAACAGCAAA